TAAACTAATCTATGTTGAAGCGTAGAGCTGAAATTAAATTAAAAGGCTTGAAACTAAGACGAGTCTGAGTATAAAGAGAAGTTGTGCTGAGTTTGTTGTGTGAGATATCGATCCTTTGCTTGATCTTATAATTAAGTATTTATAGCACCTTGGCAGCATGGTGGAGATTTGCGGCAGCATCTTGAAAGACCAACGGCAGCATCTTGAAAGACCAACCGCAGCATAATATCTGCAACAAATTGATTAATTTGTTGGTGCTGCAATTATCCTCCGGGAAGCTCGCAACAAAAGAACGGTTTTGTTGCCGTTGTGGAAATAACCACTCAATCTCATCTGAAAAAATTCACACCAACTAATAAAATATCTGCCATCATGGGTGACACGTGGCAGCACTTCATTTGTTGTAAAATTAGGTGTAAACATTGCCCCCCAATTTTTGGCCTTACGGGAGTAAGTGTCAAAAATTTAGGACCTTAATGACAGTACTCAACTTCTTTGTACCCTTGTCCTCTTTTGCTGTTTACATTTCTTCTCTGTTTTGGAATCAGAAGCGTGGCCAACTGCAACTTCTGTGACGCAATTGCAATTCTTCACCACTTACGACTTGGAAACATGATCGACTGCAATTCATTATAAAACACAGCCACTCCTTCGATAACCATCATCACAGATTTGCAGCCATTTCTCTCTTTTTGTCTTTTTAGTTTTTGCATTGTCTTTGTCAAGCCATTGCAGCCATGGTCAGCCAATTTCCAGCCCGTGAACTGCAGCAAGGAGGAAGTCTCAAATCAAATAAGCCCCTTTGGCATCAATTCGGCAATATCCAAAAACAAATTGCCGAAATTATTAATGAAGAACCTTCATGCCGCGACAACCAGATCCACATTGTCTTCAATGATTCCATCAATTTGGGTCCAGTTTTGAAGGAGACAGCCACTGCACTCTTACGCCTCCACTACCCTCAGCCGAGCAAGCATCTATTACCTTTTCAAGTCAAGCCAGATTGGAGTGAGTGGTCAACACGCATCGTTGCATGGCCAATAGTAACTGAAGGTGAATGGCCGGCATGGGTAAAAAGGTTGGAACCTCACTTTACAGACATATGGAAAGCAACTGGAATTTTTGAATTTATTCATATGACCACAACTCAAGTGCCGGTAAACAAAGCCATTTTAACAGCAGCTATGTGTTCTTGGTCATGCTCCTATAATTGCTTTCATTTCCCTTGTGGTGCTATGTCCATCTCTCTATTTGATATTTGTTCTCTAACCGGTCTTCCCTGCATTGGAGAAGAGGTTTCTGCCCTGCTGCCAGCTGTTCCTGTTGAAGAATATGACCCCGGTGACACCAGAACAACTTTCTTGAGTTTCCAAAGGAACTCAATTCTCGCCACCAAGAGTAAGAATCCGGACCAAAGAGAACATATTTCCTTTCTATTATGTTTGATCTGCAAGTTTATGGTCTGCCTTACTGGGAGGTGTGTTGCCAAAGAGTTCATTCCTCTTGCTGTCGGTTTGGAACATGGTAAAAAATTTGCTCTTGCTCAATTTATGCTCGGCTATATATACCGTGGATGCTATGATGTCACCATCTTTCCATTCGGGAAATTCAGTGGTGCTCTTTGGGTCCTACAATTGTGGCTTTATTCTTATTTCCCAACTGTCGCCCCTGAATTTGAGAAAGTTGATGAGGAAGATTTGCTAACTTATGGCATGTGCGTCCAAGATGCAAAGAAGCTGCCGCAAAGTTTCAAGACATATTTTAACTATTTTGCATCCCTCTCAATTGACCGGCCAAATGCAGAATTTG